GTTTCTTTAGATGCTACCCAGCTGGTCTTCTCCTTAATCCAATTCTGATTTCAAAGAGTCACCAGAGTTTATATCTATCTGCCACCCCTCCTAGTCAAGCCAATGTTCCAGCAGTATGTCAGCCTTTTGTGAGAGAGCATTTTAGAGATTAATGCACACTTCCCACTCTCTTAAGGCATCCGTGTTTATTTCCAACATGTGTCAGACTACTTACCATGGTCCAGGGAGCCCTCACAGCCAAGAGCTCAGGGTAGGACAATGGACGTGGCCAGGATGAAGCAAGCCCCAGCCAGGCCTAGCCAGATAGTGGGCATATGAATGACCTACTCCTGGCATGCCGCACAGAATGCACTAGCCTTGCTCAGAGCCACTGGGGACAGACCAGGGGCCCCATTCTCTCTCCAGGAAGTTGGAGGGACAGAATCTGGCTCTAACCTGGTGTTCACTTACTTCCTTTCACATGGGGATTCCCTCCCCAGAGCTCTTGCTCATCCTCACTCCTTGGCTGGCCCACGACCCCTGAAAGTAGAGGCTCACAGAGGCACAACGCAGGTTTCCGTCTGGCTCTCAAGGCTACCCACGGCCCTGGCCTCCGGGCCACCTCTCACAGGCCCATGCGCCTCTAGTCCCTACCTGATCTGCTGAAGGAGAAAAGCCATCTTCAGGATGCCCTCCTCCTGTTAGGCATGCTGGGCTTCAAAAAAATGGCCTCGGCCAGGCCCAGCCCCCTCCGAGTGTCACCTGCACGTGCTACAAACACACACACACGACTGTGGTCTGTGCCCTGCCAGTGCCAGGCACTGAGTCTGATGGCTCAGAGTTCACTGTCCAGCAGAGGCATGAAGTGGCCCAAAACTATAAGCATCACAGGAATCGAGGCTAGTGCCACCCAGGCAGGTTCCCAGGGCTTGGCCCTGGGGCAGCTTTGCCTGAGCTGTCTCCCCTGTAAGTGGAAGCAGTAGGGATGGTGAACCCAGCAGCTCAGGATTTTCATAAAGATCAACTTGGCACATGGCAGCAGCTGTGAAATGTAAGGAAGAGGGACTCTGATGCTGGGCCAGCATTCTGGTCGGATGAACCCCACAGCCAATAGTTGGTCCTGCACCCTAACCATGAACCCTAAGCACTGCCCCAGCGGGGAGGGAGCTGCCCATGCCTTTAGACTAGGGTGCGTGGGGCCCCCACTAGAAGCCTCATCTCAGATCTGGGCCCCACAGTCATGCACTGCCTTCCTGGAGAGGGGGGTTTGCGCTCAGGGTCCCACTGAGCAACAGAACGCCACTGCCAGGTGTGAGCACATGTCCGGAAAACTTACAAAATGGAGAACAGAAAAGTTGGCCCTTCTTCTGGGCAGCCAGGCCCATGGGCGATAGCAAATGAGAGGAAAGGGGGAGCATTCTGGAATGTACCACAGGCTTCCCCTTATCACTGCCACTACATGGTAACCCTGAGTCTGGAGAAAGGCCCAGGTGAGCCCCTCACAGGCATCTGGTGTGGAGAGAGCAGTCTCAGCAGACTGCCTCGTCAAGGTCAACATCATGTGCTGTGGGGGGTAGCGGGGAGGACACATAGTTAAATTTTCAGAATCCTTTCTATACGGAGTGTGTCTTGTGGAACTAGCATTGCATGATTTACGTACAAGGGATCACCTGTTTATTATAAGATGACAGTTTTCTCTCAACTAAATCTGTAAATCTAAGCAATGCCACTTCCTGCAAAAATAAAAACTCAGGGTGAGGGAAGTGGATAAGCCCATCTAAGGTTGACAAGAAAAAAAGAACCTGCAGAGGAGACGGGCTTCCAGACCTCCGTGATCAAGACAGTGGGGCTCAGGCTAACTGGGATGACAGCCTAGAACTACCCACACGCAGGCCAGGGCTCAGCACACCATAAAGATGGCACTTCAGTGGGGAAAGACAGCTTTTCCAGGACAGGTAGTTGGGGCAAATGATTTAGAAAAAGCAGTTTGTGTTCCTACCTCACTCTTTCTGAAGAGTAGTTTCTAGAATTAGACCAAAATTTAAGTTATTTTAAAAAGAAACCATTACATTTCCAGAAGAAAATATCAAATGTTATATTATCTTGGACTAAAGAAAATGTTTCTGAGTGTGACACAAAATGCAGAAGCCACATATGAAAACCACTAATAATAACTAATAACTTTAAGTGCCTGGCATGCATAAATAAATAAATATGAAACACAAACAAAAAGACACAATCCAAGTAAAAGACAATGACAGAATGGGAAAAACACTTTAACAGACAATGGGCTAATTGCTTTAATATTGAAAGTGCCTAGAAAAGAGTAACACCAACAACCCAATAAAAAAATGGGCAAAGAATATGTAATACAAACAGCTTTTAAATATAAGCACATTTATAATAAATATAGGTCTTTCCAGTTTCAAAATGGTAGAAATTATCAACATAAAAAATAAATCTGACAAAAGCATTGAGATCCATTGTACTTCCTAGGAAACAAGCAAAGCTACAATGAAACTATTTTATGTCTACCAGTTCTTCAAGATCAAGCAATGGGGGACACCAGCCCCTTCCTTTGTTGGGAGGGGGACAATTTGGCATGACTGGTTAAGAGATTATGTACCCAGTCAGAGATCTGCACAAAGCCTTTTGACCTAGCACTTCTGCACCGAGGAATTCAGCCGACAGAAATATTCCTACTTGGCTATAAGTATAGTCAACCTAGCATTGCTTGTTATAAGACTGGAAATAACCTAAATTTCAACCAACAGGAAATAGGATAAATACACAGTACTAATAAAATATGATACAGCCATTAAGACGAATGAGTTCATAAAAGCACTGTCCAAGTGGGATCACATGGTGATGTTTTGTACAAACAAATCAGATGTATGTGCATAGACTTTCTCAGCTGATGCATAAGAAACTGGTTTATCTTTGCCGCAGGGGACGGGAAACCAGGCCTTGGAGGTCAGGGGGAGGAATGACATAGTTTTCCCCTGGGACCCTTACATGCTCTGCATTTTTTACTCTGCGTATCTGAAAACATTTTTGTTCAGTTGTAAGCAGTTGCTTTGAACTTGCTGTATTATGGGGCCCCGATTCTCAGTAAACTTATATTCATTCATATCCGATAGGGTGAAAAGACAACATACTCTGTGACAAGTGCAGCACCAGGGGTCAGTGGGAGGGAGTACAGGGCTGAGGCAGGAGGAGGGTTGCTTTGGGGAAGAAAATGAAGCAAGAGACTGCGAGCAAGTCAGACTGGTTAAGAAGAGTTAACTATGCTGGGGGCCTTGGGCTTAGTGAGGGTATGTCAGACTCAAAGGCCAGTCTGTGCAAATGTCCTGGGGTAAGAGCAACCAAGAGCTAGAGCCATAGATGCTCTCTACTCTAATGCATACATATCTCATGTGTAGTTTGGCTTCTAAACGTCCCGTATTATCAAAAATGACCCCAGACTCCCAGCTGGAGGGGCCCATGGGGCTCGGGAGGGGCGAAGGCACCAGCAGCTTCCCCACCCACTCCCAGGCCAGGGCACTTTCCACTGATAGGGACGGGTGGGCCAGGACTCCAGACTCAAGGCTGCGCTGCCCAGAGGCCAGGACCCGGAGCAGCCTGGAGGGACGGCAGAGGAAAGGTTTGGTAGAAAAGGCGTCTTCCGCGTGACTCCCGGTGAGTCACCTTCGGTCGGACAGCGACCCTCTCTATGGCCCCGGCGGCCCATTCTAAGCTCTCTGAGCACCCAAGTCTCTCCTTCCCCATTACACGCAACCAAAGGTTCTGCGGAGCAAAGCACTACGAGGCCAAACCGGCCGGCCTGACGGGAGCGATCTGCCGCCACCTGACCCCACCAGTGTCCACACTGAGACCAGCGGAGGCGCCTGGGCACGGTGGGCCTGCGTGCGGCCCGACCCCGCGGCAGCCCGTTCTGCACGTGGAGAGGCTGAGACGCAGGGGAACGGAGGGGCACCGTCGGGAATGGCGGAAAGGGCAGGGACCGGCCGGGCAGGGTACGAGCCTCCGCCACTTACCGGCGAGGCCGCGGCCTCCTCGACCATCCGCCGCCGGTTCCGGGCGAGCATTACGCCACTTCCGCTCCCGCCAGACCCCGCAGGTGACGCAGCTCTCGACGGCCGCGCCCCCTCGGCGTCGTCCCCACCCCCGGGCTGAAGCACCGCCCCCTCTTAAAGGGCCGCGCAGCGCCACAGGACTCGGACTAGCCTAGGGCCAGGTGGAAACAAGCCGATCTGGGCGGTGGCCGCCACCCTGGATTCTGCAGCACAAGCTAAGCCTCCGCCAGACCCTGGGGTGGACGATAGGTCACTCGTCTCCGAGGCTTTCCCGGCTCTAGGGCTTTGTCCTTGGAGGTCGCAGGAGGCACTCTAGGCCTGGTGGTGAGCCTGGCCTCCAGCCGGGGTACAGAGAAACCCGGGATCTCAAGGGCACCTCAGGCAAAGACAGCTCAAAGCCCCCAAAGAGTGTAGCGGAAACCCAGCCGGAGTGGCCCCTTTCCTTGGGAAGACCCCATAAGGCCCTCAGACCTGACTGTCTCTGTCCCCGGGCTTCAGCCTCATTTACAAAGGAAGTGACCTGGCCCGGCCCCTCAGAACCTTGGTGAGCCGTCTTGGCACTCTGTGCAGCCCGCCCCCAGGACAGGAAGTGGAGCCTTGTGATTGCAGTATCCTTATCTACCAGGGGAGCGATTGTGCAGTGTCCTTACCCATTATGGGGGCGGAAGGGTGCCTCACTGGGGCCCCGGAGCAGGCCCAGCACACTCACCCTACCCCTCAAGGGTTTTGAAAAGACAAGGCGCCCACCACCCTCCCAGGTAATATCACCACCCAGACAACAGCAAACTCAAGGGGTGCTCGGTTGGGACCTAAACCCTACTCCTTCTTCCGTAGGGAGTGATGGTGGCACCTGCATTTGTGAACTTTCCTGGGGGGTTGGGGGCAAGCTTAGCACCTTCTGAGAACTCGCTGAGGGCTGGGGAGAGCACACATGAGCCATGAAAGTAAGGGAAGGAACGTTAAAATTTTTAATCTTTAATTTTTCACCTTTTTCCTTTGTTTTGCTTCCAAAAGAAAAGGAGAGCGTGGCTCTGCCCCTTGCACATCGTCCACAGCCCCTACGCAGGGGCAGGCAGTTTGGACCTCATTGCCGGCCAGCTGCCTAGGGGGACTGGGGCTCACGAGGGGTACACATGCAGCCCCTGGGGCCGGGGTGCCGCCTTATTGCTGAGGTCTGTTCCTGGCTTGGCTCCGGGCGCAGCAGCTCCGCTAGGCGCGCTGGCTGGGCAGCTCCTGGGAGATGAAGCGGCGCAGGCGCTCCAGGTACTGGCTGTAGAGCTCAATGTCGTTGTGCCCGGCGCCCTCCACCCACAGTGGCTCCACGGCCTTGGGGCAGCGCTCATAGAGCGCCAGCCCGTGCGAGAAGTCGATCACCTCGTCCTCCGTGCCATGGATGATAAGCACCGGCGATGTGATCTTGGACACCTTCTCGATGCTGCAGGGTGGGGCGTGTCAGGCCTCCAAGACCCGCCCCCCACCAAGACCCGCCCGACCAAGGCCCTGCCCCGCCCAGGTTCCCAGGGCAGCCCAGTGCTCACTTGGGGAAAGCATCAAAGCAGTAGGTCTTCCTGGTGTCTGGGAAGGCAACACGCATGCCCGAGGTGAGCGGGGAGTGCAGCACCACCGCGGCGCACTCGTAGCGGGAGGCCAGGTCCACGGTGGGCACTGTGCCGATGCTCTGACCATACAGGACGATGCTATCTGGGCTGATGCCGTACCTGGCAGTGGGACAGGGTCAGCTGCAACTGGAACACTCCCCTCCCACAGCCCTCCCTCCTTGGGCAGTCTGTCCCCCCTTCTCCTAGGACAGTTCTAGGCAACTAGACTGGTCCCAGGGACCCTACCCTGGCCCCCAACAGAGGCGGCGCACTTAGCAGGGAGGCAGGGCTCCTGCAGGTGTGAAGACAGCTGCTCCCACTCCTCCCCAACCAGGCCACAGTCCTAGGTCACCTGGATCTACTCTCAGTTTCTCCAACAGGATCTACTTCCTCATGCGCAAGGAGCGCACCTGGTGAGGGCCCCACAAAGGCTGCTGGGAGCAGGGTAGCTCTGGGGCCTCTCCTACTTCTCCAGGTCACTCTGTCAACCCCCAACCCTACACACACTTGACCAGGGCCACATCCAGATTCCGCTTAGAGTTTTCCTGTCCCTGCTATTCTGGATTAGTTAGTTCTTTGAGGAAGGGGGGGCTGTCTTCCTGCCTGCACCCCTTCCCCACCCCCTTTGCTGTGGGGAATTGAGGCAGCTGTCCCCATGTGTCACCCCTTGGTATCCTCCATGCCCAATTAGGTGCTCAGTACAACACTGGTGAGCAGAATATCCACTGCTGTGGGGAGGTGGATGGGTGCTAACTCCTTCTGGCACCTTCTCTATATAGTGGCCAAGTCCTGGGCTACCCTCCTCAGCACCAACTCCCACCTTCAAGCCCCAACCCCAGCCCTGTCACCTCCCACATGCCTCCCTAGGGTCCCCCAGCACAGCTGATCCAGCTCCAAGCCATTTCCACGGCCCCTACATGCCTATTCCCAGCCACATGGGGACCCACCTGCCACCCTCCCTATGCAGGTGGCCTCCAAGGTTCTCCTCCAACACATCAGACCCCAAACCCAAAGGGACATCCCTCTTCCTGGTGGACAGGGGCCAGGACAGTTCTGCATCTCACTTGAGGAACACACCTGAAAAGCCAGATTCCACCTCCCTGTCTACAGCGTTATCCCCACCTGTCTCTGTCCTGGTAACACTACAGGTTAACCCCAGCCTACCCCCAGGCCTCAAGGATGCTACCCGGTCACTCCTCCCCAGTCTGCTCCCAGGTTGCCATGGCCACCACTTTGTTGAGCACCAGCACAGCCCTATCACCCAGCACCAAGAAGGGACCCCAACAGCCCCTGGCTGTCTCCATCTGAATAAACTCAACAGGTGACAAGTGGAGTGGCTCTTCTCCCTTAGGCCTCCCCAGCCCCAGGCACAGCTTGGGCACAAGCCTCCTGCTGCCTCTAAGCTGTTGGAGCTCAGGGACCAAGTCTCTGGAAGTCAATGCTGGTGAGAGGATAGATGGACGATGGACAGAGCTCCTAGCCCTCACCCCACAGTGGGGTCTGATTCTGCCAGTAACCCCCAGCGCAAGCAAGGACAGAAGGAAGGGTTGAGGCAGTTGAGGGCAGGCATGTACCTGTACCACACCACCTATGACAGGTCCCTGGTGCCAGGGGACCCTGCTCCCAGGGCCTGCCAAAGGGACTGCCTGGTCCATCACTATGAGCCCCATCTCCCCAGAGCAGACTGACTTTGGGCCTCGAAGGTCCAGCAGGTCAGCCAGGCAGGGCTGAAGCAGGGTATCCCCCAGCAGACAGTGGATAGGGCTCCACATCCAGGAAGGCCAAGGTTAACCTCCTTCTGGAGCAGTTCTGGGCACAGGGCGGCACGCTGCAAATGCTGGCTCAGAGACCGATAAACGTGCTTCAGTGAGTATTGGGGGAGAGGGGTCTGCCCAGGATCTGGATGACCAGGATGGTGGAGGTTCAGAGAGGGAATGGCCATGAGTCAAGCATGTGGGTATGTCCTCTGCTCACTGATCTCCCACCAGCCATCAGAGCTGTGCTAGGCACCAAGCTGCCCAACAGAACCCTCTAAGCCTAGAGGAGCCCCACCCCTACCCATTGTCCCAGGATGAGGCCAAGTTCCATGACTACAAGTACCTCATAGGCCTGCCCCCAGAATCCTAATGCAGTAGCCCAGCCTAGCCCTGAACCCCATGTGCTTCCTTGGCTTGGGACTCCCACAATTCATTCGCACAGCCCTCACATGGTACCACTGGGCCCAAGGTCCTCTGCCTAACATTTCTTTCTGAGGGAACCTCCACTCCACTGGGGACAGCCCCAGCCCATCCCTGCCCCTGCCCAGGGAGTTTTGAAGACTGCCGACATGCCTGCCTGCACACCAAGCACATCTGTTACCATGCTGAAGAGACACGGGTCAGGACTCGTCTTCTGGACCACGGTGGCCACTGACAGTTCCCCTCTCCAGCAAGGCCACCCACAAAAACTTGGCCCAGGCTTCCTTCCTCCCCAGGGAGGTAGGCCTAAGTTTCTAGTGGGCCTACCTTCCAACCGCCCTGTCTCACAGCTTCTGGTCCCCCCCAAGGGGACACTTTAGGTTGACCAAGTCCCCGGCACACAGCTCACCTGGTGCGCAAGGCCTGCCAGGCAGCATCGATGTCGGCATAGAGGTTCTTCTCAGAGGGCCTGCCCGAGCTAACGCCATAGCCCGAGTAGTCATAGGAGAAGATATTACAGTTGATGCGTGTGCCCAGGCCAATGTAGAAGCTGCTCATCTGGCCCAGGTCCACTGCATTGCCATGTGAGAAAAGGACTGTGTACCTAGCAGGGTGGGAGAAGACAGGGTCAGAGGGCAAGAGAAAGAGGGGTCTACTCACACCTCAACCAGGAAGGGACAGGAGCGCTATGGGGGAGGGGGAGGAAGATAGGCGGCCTGTGCCACAAAACAGCCTAGCTCCTCCTGCCTGCATAATCTCTGTCATGTTGAGCACAGGATGGGCCCAGCCGCCTCTCCTCGAGTCCATTCCTTTTGGAGGGACTCCAACAGCCCGAGGATAGCAGGCATGTGGGCCTGCTGCTCAGAGACTTCATTGACAGGGCTGCCCCCTCTCTTCCTGACAGTTGGCCCGTCCCCTGCCCCACAAGTGAATAAAGCCAACCCCTGATCACAGTGGTTTGGGTCTCCTTCTCCTGCAGGAAATGACCATGGCACTCATTTCAGCTCTTGTGTCCCATGACAGGCCTGCCAAGCTGCTGCTAACAGGGCCTGCCCAGGGCCTGCCAAGAGAAGGCAACCAGGTGACTCCACGCCAACAGACTCTCAAGGTCCTCTTCCTCCAGCACAACTGGGTCCCAGCTCCCACTCCCGCCAGCCCTGCCTGGCCCAGAGGAAAGGTAAGACCTCTCCCGCTGAACTTAGACCTGAAGTCACAACCTGCCTTGTGTGAGGCAGAAGCACCTGGAAAACCTGCCTCTGCCCCACCCTCAGGCTCAGGAGAGAGCTCTGCTTGCAGGTCCTGAGGTACCCTGTTAATGGGAAGGCAGACTGAGCCTGAGCCACCAGCACCTCAGGTACCAAGACTTCACCGGGCACCGAGCGCCTGAGACCCTGCTCCTTGTAGAGTGGTGTGTGGCACAGCCACGTGAAGCCACTTCCCTCAGCCTCAGGGTCCCCATCTGCAAGATGGGGTACTGAGAGGAGCTGCCAATGGAAGGGCACCTGGCAGTAAGAGCTTAAGGGAGCTGGGCAGCGGCCGTGAGCAGAGTGAGGCACACCCTTGGTAGCTCTGGTCGGCCAGACCTTGGCAAGAAGCAACCCAGGCACCCACAAGCCCTGGTGGTCTGTAATCCCACTGTGGCATTCCAGGGACCATGAGGATGAGCATGGATCCCGCCCTCCGCCCTTCCTGGCTCTGGGTCTGTCTGGTCCAGTCCTAAGGGCTCACCTGGCTCCGGGCACACAGCGCACATACATGCAGGCAACGCGGTTGCCCCGGCTGCTCTTGGTCAGGAAGACCTCAATAGTGTCCAGCTCACGCTGGCTGTACTGGAAATCAGAGCGCTCCATCAGGTGGAGCTTCCAACGTCTGGGGGTGCCCGTGGAGGCCCGCAGGGTCCCCAAGGCCGTGGTCCCAGCCCCACCAGGCCTGGGCTCAGGCTCAGGCACCAGGGAGTAGGTGGGCTCCGGCGGCAGGAAGGCGAGCTTGGCGGCAATGCGGCCAGGGCAGGGCGGGCAACAGAAGAGGCAGCAGAGCTCAGTCACCGACAGGCCGTTCATGGCGGGCACCGGGCCCCAGGACAGGCCTCACTCAGCAGCAGAGGGGAAGGGTTGCTCCGAGATGTGGGTGGGAGGGGGGAGGGCAACCCCCAGCCACTGCCCCAGACAAGAGCCCTGTTAGGAGGCAGCAGCCCAGCCCCATCTCGGTCCAAGCCGAGCCCTCGGGAGCCTTGCAGCCTCACGTCTCCATGTCCTGCACAGGGAAGCCCTGCAAAGAACAGCAACATGTGAGTTTCCCCAGGGCACAACCAGTCAGGGACCCAATCTCACATGGCCTGAGCCTCTTGGCCTTCCCCAAAGCCCAGCCCACTCTCTCCTGATCAGACTGCTCCACCCTCTGCCCCACAGACCTGCAAGCCCAGCTTACCCCTCTCAGGGGACCATGCACCTCCCAAGTGGCCTCTGTGCGATCCCAAACTGACTTGTCCCCGCCTGCTACCACCCTTCCTCAGCTTGCAGTCACCGACTCTTGCCATGTAAGCCCATTCGTCAACCCAGCCACAACCTGATGGCTGTGCTGGGCAAGCAAACCCCCTGGCCCACTCCAGCTCTCCTCCTGCTCTGGGCCCAGGGAAACCCTGTCAACACCCCATGCTTCTGTCCAGAGGGCTGGCCCAGACACTCCCCCCCCCACCCCACTCCCCAACACACGCGCGGATGGGCGCGCGCACAAACACACAGAGCAGCTGAGGCAAGGACAGACTTCAGACAGGGCCCTAAAAGCTCCCTGATAGGGGGGCTGGTAGGGGTTGTGCCCGCCTGAGGACATGAGACAGAGGAGCCCAGGCAGAGGAAACATAACAAAGGCTCTGAGAACAAAAGCAGGATACATCTCAGGCTCAGAGCTGAACAATGGCTCTCCCCTGTGCTGGGGGCCAAGCCGAGGGGCCAGGCTGTAGAGGGGGTGGGGAGTCATGGGAGCTGAGGCTCCTTCTCCAGCTCTGCCAACTTCAGGGTCTGGAACCTTGGGCAAGTCACTTACCCTCCCAGAGCCTGTTTCCTAATCCATCAACTAAGACAGCACTCACACCACAGGAATAGTAAATGATAGTGGCGGGCAGGGGGCCTGGCTCAGAGTAGAAGCTCAAATGTTCTTCCTTTTGACAGAGCGTGGTGAAACTACATAGACCACAGCTAAAGTGCTAAAGCTACTACAATCATATACAGAGAGCTGTGAAAGGAGCGACTAGGGAAGAAAACAGGTTTGCGAAAACCTGACCACTTATTACACTTTCCCTACAGACTAGACCGAGGGAGACACACACTACTCAGCTTTAGCATCAGAGGACCTTGGCACGTTCAGTTTTGAGGCCACAGCATTTGAAAACCTTTGGGGCCAGGGACACTCGAATTCAGAGTAGGTCAGAGAAGTCTGAGGTCCAGAACACACCTAATCCCTCCAGATCTGTGACCTGCGACTAAGGGCTGGAGAGAGCCACATCCTGCTGTCACCCAGATCTGGGGCACAGAGGGGAGTGGGAGAACTGAAAAATCCAAGGTGAGGGCGGGGACAGTTTCCAGGAGTCCCTAAACTTCCAGGCAGGATACAAACCTTATGTGCAAGTATTTTTCAGAGGAGAGGGTCTATCATACTGGTTTCAGATGGGAACACTTGCCAATGTCTGGAGACACTTTCGGTTATGAGGATTAGAGAAGGGAGCTCCTGGCATTAAGAGGGTGGAGGCCAGGGATGCTGCCTAACACCCCACAGTGTACCCCCGAAGAAAGAATTGTGTCCCCAAATTTCCACCAACATATTCTCAAAGAGGTCCAGGCCCCGACAGGTGATGGTCCATTGCTGCAAGCAGGGAATGAAAGGTCTGAAGTTCAGGTGGCTCTGTGAAAGCTGTTTTTTTTAAAAAAAAAAAAACAACAACAACAACATGTTTTTATTGATATCCAAGAGAGCGAGAGATAGAAATATTGATTGGAGAGAAATATTGATCAGCTGCCTTCTGCACACCCTCTACTGGGGATCAAGCCGCAACCCAGGCCTATGCCCTAAACGGAAATTGAACCAGTGACCTCCTCATACATGGATCTACACTCAGCCACTGAGCCACACTGGCTGGGCATGAAAGCTGGTTTTGAGAGGAAGACCTGGTTGAGAGCCAGGGGGCAGGTAGGAGGTCCCCCACAACCCTGAGGAAAAAGTACACCAAGGTGGCCAAGCCACACTGACCAAACCAGGAACCTGGATGTGGTCCTTGACTCCTCCCTGTTGGCTCTTTCTCTCTTTAACCGCCACTGGTCCCCTCCGCTGTCATCACCTGGACTTCAGCAGTCTCCTTCCTTGCTGGTCCCCCCTTGGCTACCACCACAGCACTCCAGGCCATTCTCCCCACCCCCCAGCAGCTGAAAGACCTTTCACAACACAAATCTGACCATACCACCTCCCAATTTTCAGAGTAGAGATAAAATCCCTCATCGCAGCCTGCCAGGTTGGCAGTTGAGAGGTCTCTCCAGCCTCATTCATCTGGTGTCCCTCACTCTCCTCAGATAAGCCACATTGCCCACTCATGCCTCAGAGCCAGAACCCAGGCAGCTTCCCTCCTGGGGACCCCTCCCCAGTCTCATTTGATGGTCCTTGCTCTTGTCCTTTCCACCATTCAGATCTCACTTCAGATCTCTCAAAGAGGCCTTAACCTGGTCAGGTACCCCCACCCCACGTCTACCATGCTCTCATGGTTCCCAGTTCCAACCAAAGAAAAACCCCATGAGGGCAGGACCACTATCCGTTTTTGCTCAATAAACAATGGCTGAACGAGTGGGCAAATGACAAGGGAAAAAGAGGAAATGGGAAAGCTCCAAAGTCTGCCAGATTTGACAGGGAGCAGGGGCAGCTGGAACCTCCTGCACATCATTTGTGAGTATCACTGAGTAGTGGCCCAAGAGCCAGGCCTCAGACTGGGCAGTGCCCCTTCAGGTGCCTCCATCACTGGGCACACACCCCTGGCACCCAAAGCTCCGGGGATTCCACTCACAAGCAGATGCTGCCAGGTGCCATGCAGGCTGGAGGTGTTAAGAGGACCAAGGAGGAACCAAGGCAATGGCAATACTCTAGGACGACCTAAATACTAACGGCGGCGACGGCAGCTCACCCAGCCAGTCAGAGTAGGAAAGCTGCCTGGAAGGTGCAGTCTGATCGGTGGAGACAGCGGCCAGGGGACAGGGGACAGGGCAGAGGGAAGAGCTTGGGCAAACCCCAGTGGTGGCGGCGCCTTCCAGGAACCGCGGGTCCTGGGTAGGGGAGGCACTGGGACGAAGAGGCGAGCAGAGAGGCCCCGGAGAAGGCCAGGGCCAGGCCGCGCCCGTGAGCTCGGCTGCAGATACTGGACTTCATTGTGCGGGGAACAGGGAGCCCCGGAGGAATCCGGGACCGGGGTTAGAGACTGTGGATGTTCCCTGAAATGGAGCGGAGGCCGGGAAGCCTGCGACGGGGCAGAGGCGTCTGGTAGACGTTTAGGAAGCAGGGCTTGGCGACGGGCCCGCAGCCCCGGGTGTTGGGCTGGAGGGCCGGTTCCGGGGCAGGGGCAGAGTCCGCGGCTCGGGCCGCTCACTCCCGGAAGGCGGAGGCCGCATCCCGGGGGGTTTGGGGGGGCGTTCTCCTCCACGCCGGAGGGCAGCATGGAGAGGGGGGGAAGCGGGGACCGCGTCATAGGAGGGTGGGCGTCCACCCCACGTCGCAAGGCTGAGCAGAGGGGGGACAGGGCTCTGCCAACGTGGGAACCCGCGGTCCTCGCCCCCGGCGTGGGATCCCTTCGGGAACACCGCGGCTACCCCGGGAGTGCGGGGTTTCGGGGGAGTCCGACCAGGCTGCCCCAGCCTCGCGGCCGGGCCCGGCTCCGCAAACGGCCAGGGCGGCACCGAGGCCGCCCCACGCCGCCATGCCCGCCCCCGGTAGGCACTCACCGCCGCGGCCCGCGCACCCCAGTCCCGGGGCCACACTCCATGGCTCCTGGCCGCCCGCCTGCGCGCCCGTCGGTCCCTCGGCGCCGCGGCTCGGCCTCCTACTCCTGCACCGCCGCCGCCGCCGCCGCCGCCGCTCCCCCGCGGCGGAAGTCGGCCTCGCTCCCGCTGCCTCCCCGGAAGTGACGCGCAGGCCAGCCCGGAGGCCCGAGGGGCCGGAGCCTGGACCTGGCGCCTGGGCCTGGGCACCGGGCGCCGGCGCAACCGGACTTGGGGGCGGAGCTAAGCGCAGGGTGGGCGGGGCCGAGTTGTGCTTGACGGGTAGGTCTTGATTGGGGGCGGGCTGTGGTGGGCGGAACCGACACGGCGGGGGGCGAGGCCCGGGTTGCAGTTCCAGCATTAGTGTTCAGGAGCCGAGCCTCCTCATAATTCCCACGTTCTTTTACTCATTCCAGGGTAAGGACTAAGGTGAGAGGAGTGAGGCAAGGTGCAAGTGCAGGGTCGAGTCCTGCCTTTATTTAAAATCATGATATTTTCACCCTGGCCAGGGTGGACCAATGGTTAGAGCGTCGGCCCGTGCACCGAAAAGACGCGGGTTCTATTCCCGGTCGCGGCACGTACCTAGGTTGCAAGTTCAGTTCTGGCCCCAGTTGGGTGCGTGCGGGAGGCAACCAATCAATGTGTCTGTCTCTCTCCTAAAAAATCCTCAGGTGAGGATTAACAAATAAAATTTTTAAAAAATAATATCATGATATTTTGTTTCTCCTGGGTTTTTTGCACCTGTTTCACCTTTTAAAATACTGCATGAACATATTATGAATTTTGGTAGCTGAGTTTTTTGGCATTCCTTAAATTTTGTGCCTGTGGCAAGTGCCCCTAACACCTTACCGTAGTGCCTCCCGGCTCTGCTCGTGCTGCTTGGGAGAGGATAAGGGTTGTGAACAAAATGGGGGATATGGCTAAAGGTGACTAGCGTGACCAAGGCAGGCCTTGCTGAGGTGGTGGCTGTGACAGAGGCAGAAAGGCTGCTGAGGCCAACAAGGCCCAGCATGAGGCAGGACTGTGAATTCGTTGGACAGTCTTATCCTTTCAGGCCTCCAGTCTTTGCAGATGCCTTTCCCCCAGCCTGCATGCCTTTTCCAGTTCAAATGCCCACCCCCAGCAGGCAGTCCCCGCCCCACCCTACCCACCCCAGTTTCTCCCCAAAGATTCTAATCTTTAGCTTCCTTTACAGAGATAAGCCTGAGTCTCTGGGCTCCCCAGCCAGCCCTCCCCCAGGGCTCCATTCCTCCAGTCACCTACCAGGCTCAGGAGTGGACACTGCCCAGGGCTGGTTTCCAGCTGGTTTCTCTGGCCTTCAGCTCTGACCTCTAACCTGTGCTCAGCCACCACTTTCCCCACTGTGTGCTAGAGGGCTATCCAGGGATGCCCCGAGTCCCCCTGCCTCTGCTGCCCCCCCACACACACACACCCCCACACACACACCCCACTCCCCACCCCCTAGCCCCCACGGTTCCCAGCATCACCTGAGGTTCACCTGGGGCCCAAAGGTCACAACCTGGCAGCTTCTTTCTGATTTCCTTGTGACTTTTTCAGACACTGGAGAAGAAAGAGGCCTGCCTACAGCCTCCTTCCCCAGCCCCATCTCCCCATCCAGCCCTTCTTCCCCTGGGCTGGAAAGGCCCAGAGCTGCAGCTGCACCAAAGGGAACACGGGCTGACACTGTGAAGGGGGTGGCCCAGGAGGTGGGGAGGGGGCTCAATTCCCATCCAAATGTGGCCTGCCCCTGCCCTCACCAAGTTCCCCCACCAGCCAAAGGGGACTCTGCAAAGACAAAGGCGCTGCTGTAAACTTCCCAACATCTCAGAAGTCACCCTTTCTCCTCCCTTCCAAAGGCCCTGCAAGGTCCAGCCACTGGCATGTATATATGTTATTTCAGAGAGGAAGGGAGAGGGAGAGAGAGATGAAACATCAATGATGAGAGAGAATCATTGATAGACTGCCTCCTGCACGCCCTTACTGGGGATCGAACCCGCAACCCAGGCATGTGCCCTTGACTGGAATCGAAGCCGGGACCCTTTAGTCCGCAGGCCGTTGCTCTATCCACTGAGCCAAACCAGCTAGGGTGCCACTGGTCCATTTTTACCCCCTCACTTCCCACCACTTTTCCCCTTGCTTTCTCTGTCCCAGCCACACTGGCCATGCCAGATTCCTTCCTACCTCAAGGCTTTTGCATGAGCTATGCCTCCTGCCTGAAGTGTCCTGTCCCCAAATAGCCACATGGCTGGCTCCTCATCTTTAGGCATCCTCTCACATGTCACCCCTTCAGAGAGCCCTCCCTGACCACCCGCCAGCCAAAGTTCCTACTACATGCACTCCAGACCCTATACCCTATTTATTTCCGTCAGAACTTGCCACCTTATAGCATTTTATTGAGCTGTTTCCTTGTTAATCATCTGTCTTCCCCATATTTCACCCAGTTCCCAGGGCGGGGACCCAGACTTTCATCCACCATGCTCCCAGCTGTCTCCCATGCTGTCTGATGAATTGATGGATGCATAACAAATAGGATAAAGATAATTCCTGACTCAGGAGACAGCTTCTGTGAGGGTGGAGGGAGGCTCACTGAGCCTTTGAGTGACACTCAGCACAGACTTCTGGCCTTCCCTCACTCTCTCCTGACTTGAGAAGCTCAACCTGTCCGGAAAATAAGTTGACCACAGGAATTAATGTGTCTTACAAATGCTCCCACTAGGGAGCCATTATTCCAGCCCCTAGCTGTCCAATATGGAACCATTACCCCAAATGGCTACTTATTAAGTATAAATGAATTGATTAAAAGTCAATAAAATTTGTCCTGGCCGCCCAGCCGGTGTTGCTCAGTGGTTGAGCGTCAACCCATGAACCAAGAAGTCATGGGTTTGATTCCCAGACAGGGCACATGCCCAGGTTGTGGGCTCAATCCTCAGTAGGGGGCGTGCAGGAGGCAGCCAATTTATGTTTCTCTCTCATCAATGTTTCTATCTATCCCTCTCCCTTCCTCTCTTTCTAAAATCAATGAAAACATTTTTTTTTAAAATAGGGTTTAGAAAACAATTTTTGCCCTGGCTGGGTGACTCAGTTAATTAGAGAGTCATCCTATTCACCAGAAAGGTTATAGATTCAATTCCCAATCAAAGCATATACCTAGGTTGAGGGTTCAATCCCCAGTCCAGGAAGCAACCAATCAATGTTTCCCTCTCTCCCTAAAATTAATAAAAACATATCCTCTGGTGAGGATTTTAAATAAAGCCAATAAAATTATTTAAAATTTAGTTCTTCAGTCGCAATAGCCTCATTTCCAAGTGCTCAAGAGCCAAGTGGGACTGATGGCTCCCATATCGGATGGCACAGATGGAGAACACGGAAAGAGCCATAGTCTGGAAAGTTCTAGAAACACCAGTCTAGATGGTGAGTTCCATCAAAAAAGGCATCTGTGTCTATTATTTCTTATTTCCCCTTGTGTCCCCAGTGCCCAGCTCAGGGTTTAGTATTCAATAGGTGCTCAATAAATGTTGATGGAAGAAGGGAAGGAGGGAAGGAGGAATTATCTTCTAAGGATCCAAGTAAACAACATGAAAGACAGCCTCATAGCTGGCTCCTCATAGATGTCCATCCCTGCATTAATTATAATAGTGAAAACCAGAAAAATGTCCCTAAAGTTCTGCCAGAGGAGGCTGGATATAAAGATTACAGTCAAGCACTGACTGGTTTAGCTCAGTGGATAGAGCGTTGGCCTGCGGACTGAAGGGTCCCAGGTTCGATTCCAGTCAAGGGCATGTACCTTGGTTGTGGGCACATCCCCAGTAGGAGGTGTGTAGGAGGCAGCTGATGGATGTCTCTCTCTCATCGATGTTTCTAACTATCCCTCTCCCTTCCTCTCTGTAAAAGATCAATAAAATAATATTTTTTTTAAAAAAGATTACGGTCAAGCCGTAGCGGTGGTGGCTCAGTTTGGTGGCCGTCGTCCCGTGCACTAAAAGATTGTTGGTTCAATTCCTGGTCAGGGCACATGTCTGGGTTTCGGGCTTGATCCCTGGTAGAGAGATCCATGTCACACTGATCCATGACACGCTCTCACATCCTTATTTTTTTCTCTCTTTCCCTCGCCCTTCCTCTCTCTCTAAAAATCAAACTGTTTAAAATAAAAGATTATCGCCAAAACCGGTTTGGCTTAGTGGATAGAGCATCGGCCTGCGGACTGAAAGGTCCCAGGTTCGATTCCGGTCAAGGGCATGTACCTTGGTTGCGGGCACATCCCCAGTAGGAGATGTGCAGGAGGCAGCTGATCGATGTTTCTCTCTCATTGATGTTTCTAACTCTCTATCTCTCTCCCTTCCTCTCTGTAAAAAATCAATAAAATATATTTTAAAAAAATAAAATAAAAGATTATGGTCAACCTGATGCACAACCTCGCTTTTCCCATTCTCCTCTCCTCCCCCTCAGGCATATTACCTTTGCCTTTCTCTCTCCTCTATACTTTCTAAATACAGCAGAACCTCATTTCGTGAAGCGATTTGTTTGAAAACCAAATCATTTTTTCCCATTAGAAATAATATAAATTGCCCTAACCGGTTTGGCTCAATGGACAGAGCATCAGCCTGCGGACTCAAGGATCCCAGGTTCAATTCCGGTCAAGGGCATGTACCTTGGTTGCAGGCACATACCCAGTAGGGAGTGTGCAGGAGGCAGCTGATCTATGTTTCTCTCTCATCAATGTTTCTAACTATTCCTCTCCCTTCCTCTCTGTAAGAAATCAATAAAATATATATTTTTTAAAATAAATAATATAAATTGAATTAATCCATTCTAGACCCCCAAATGATTCCCTGTTTTAACCTTTCTTATATACTAGAGGTCCGGTGCATGAATTCATGCATGGGTGTGGTCCCTCAGCCTGGCCAGCAATCAGGCCAATTTGGCCAGCCAGCTCAGGGGAGGGACCATGGGAGGTTGGCTGTGGGAGCACACTGACCACCAGGGGGCAGCTCCTGCATTGAGTTTCTCCCCCTGGTGGTCAGTGTGCATCATAGCTAACAGCTGGTGGTCTGGTCGTCTGGTCATTCGGTTGTAATGGTCACTTGGGCTTTTATATATAGAGAGAGTACATGTCTAATGTACTGTTTAATTTATAAATAAATGGTTCTTTTCTTAAATTTATCAAACC